TCCCCCAATCACCCCAATCACCCCCCCCCCCCCTCTCAACAACAATCCTAATCCTTCCCTACTGTGCAGGAAACATGACACTATAACCCGAACAACCGAAAGGGCGCACCCTCCTCCATCCCTTAATTTATCTGGTTTTCGGCAACAAGTTGAAAACCCCTATCTTGAACTGTAGAGTAATTTTTAGAACTATATAACGCTCAGACAGGAATCAAACCTGCGCTTGGCCTGCGATTCTGGTGAATCGCTCTAACCTGCTGAGCTACAGAGTCCACTTGTCGAACGCTCTAACTCCGGAAGTCCTACATTTACTTGTAGAGAATCTATAGTTGTAGAGGTCCTAAGTTGTAGAGGATCTATAGTTGTAGAGGACCTACACTTGTAGAGGATCTATACTTGTAGAGGATTTATGCTTGTAAAGGATCTATAGTTTTAGAGGACTATAGTTATAGAGGATCTATACTTGTAGAGGATCTATACTTGTAAAGGATCTATAGTTTTAGAGGGCCTATAGTTGTTAGAGGATCTATATTTGTAGAGGATCTATACTTGTAGAGGATCTATACTTGTAGAGGATCTATACTTGTAACGGATGTATAGTTTTAGAGGGCCTATAGTTGTAGAAGATCTATATTTGTAGAGGATCTATAGTTATAGAGGGTCTATAGTTGTAGAGGGTCCCCTATACCTGTAAAGGATCTATACTTGTAGAGGATCTATACTTGTAGAGGATCTATGCTTGTAAAGGATCTATAATTTTAGAGGACCTATAGTTGTTAGAGGATCTATATTTGTAGAGGATCTATATTTGTAGAGGATCTATACTTGTAACGGATCTATAGTTTTAGAGGGCCCATATAGTACGTTGTAGAAGATCTATATTTGTAGAGGGTATATAGTTGTAGAGGGTATATAGTTGTAGAGAATCTATAGTTGTACAGGGTCTATGTTTGCACTTTTCAAAGCTGCTCATATCGGTAGGTCTAAAATGTATAGAATTTACACTCGAGTCGATTTTCATCTACAAAAACCCTTCAACATTTAGTTCTATAGGGTGAGATATCCCAAAAGCCTAATTTTACAACTTTTATCCATCTTGTTTTGAAATATTCCATTTGAAAACTTCTGGTAATAGCCGAGTTAAACGTCTACAACATGTAACAGACAAGTTTGCACTGCAATTCTAATCCGCGCACTTTCATTATTAAAAAAAAATTGATTTACCATCTTGAATTTGAGCTCGTTTCGATTTTATCAACTTAAAAACGAATCTTCAAGTTTATACCTGTCTGAGTGCCCAAACTAAGATAAGTCGATAAAGACAATATAATAAGCACCAATACAAAGGTCCTCATGGTTGTTCCGGCTGCAATTAAAAAACGTTTTAAACGGTTAGATATTTATTTTTTGCCAAATAATTAAAGAAATGTTATTTATAGGAAATTCTCTTTCTTACCTTATAAATTGTTTAAACGCAGACGGTCCTTTAACCAATTGTGTGCACTTCTTAATTTAGGGTGTTGAAAATCTAGTCAAGAGACTTTAGCCTTGAACAATATTGAAAAGATTAGAACAGTTTCACGTTTTCGTTCTCAATGATTACACAGATGCACACAGTTATTTATAGGCTTATATGGCACAATTATTCAACTTGATTGGGCAATGCAGCTGTCCCAACACAATTAAGCTATGGACGATTTTAAATTCATAGATACTACAATATACAAGATTGATTTGCATACATAATCTCCGGAGGTCTACTCAGCTGGCAAAGGTGTACCGTGATCTGTGCCCATGAACCGAAATAATCGAGAGAAGAATCGCGACATTTAAATGCATGCATGCATGCGCCATATATAATGATAATACATTATTTCGAATCAAAAGTAGGCTATGCATGACACCTTAGTTATAGCGACTCGTTTCGGTGATTAGGACTGGCTTGGCTGTATCCCTTTTGTATCATTTTGTCTTGTTATTGTAAAGGGCTTTTATGGAGTTAAAACGGTATATGATTTTATGTACTTTTTATGGCAAATAACATGCAATAGGTATCCGTATTGGAAAGGTGTCTGTATTAGGGAGGTGTCCGTATTAGAGAATGTCTGTATATATTAAAGAGGTGTCAGTATTGAAGAGATGTCCGTATTAGAGGAGTGTGTATATTAGAGAGGTGTCCGTATTAGGAAGATGCAGCATGAGCTCAATGCACCTTTGAATTTACTATATATGAGTAAATTCTTAAACACGTCCGAATTTTGATTTATGATAAATTCGCGGCTCATTTTGAATTTATCATAATAATAAATTCGCTGCACCTAACACTAACCCCAACCCTAACCCCTAACCCTAACTTTTTTAACTTTTTTGAAAATCTAACTTCCTAAACTTTTAAAACTTTTCTAAAAACTATTTTTTTGAAAATCTTGAAGATCTTTAGTGCCATTACATTTATAACAAGGAGTCTTGACTAATGCTTGTGGTTTTATGATTAACTCTATTGATAAATTCAAAATGTGCCGCGAATTTATCATAATGATAAAATCGGACGTGTTTAAGAATTTACTCATATAGTGAATTCAAAGGTGGAGCTCATATTGAAAGATGTCCCTGTTAAAGGGGTATCCATATTATAGAGGTGGTCGTAAGGTGGGGTTCGACGCACTGTATATAGAATAGTGCTAACTTTTATATATCATGATTTTATATATATAACTTTTATATATCATGATTTACCCCTTCATTATATGTTGTATTTATATTTCGGCAACGGGGCCGCAAAACGCACTGGCTAAATGCTGCATTAATGCATGCATGGGATCTCTGATCTTGAACTTTATATATACATTCATTTTCTACGTGCGTCTCAATGAAATTGTTGGACTTCATTCTTCTAACATATTTTGTTCTTGTTAATATTTTTCAATTTGGGATTGTACTTGTTCCGTTTGAAACAACGTGCCACCTGACGATCACAGCGACACAGTCCTCTGGAACAGCCTTTATTTTTCGAGCCTAGAGAGTAGAGAAGATTAATATGCACGCGGTCAATATAGACAATGATTCCCAAGATAATATACACGAGGGTCGCCCAAGGGTTTTTTAGGGAACAAGGAAACACCGTGGGAACAAGGGGGCAGGCTGTGGGAACAAGGGGACAGGGAACATAGTGAATTCTCAGAGAGAACGTGAACACGGGGAGAGACCCCCCCCCAAAAAAAAAACAACTGGGGAAAGCTCAACACATGAAAATATTCTCATGCAATTCTAATTGGTTGCGAGCAGTGGCAAAAGTAAGGTTCAGCATTTTGAAATGCATTTCAAATTGCTTCATTCAGGTGTATTGTGCCTTGTGGAAGCTTATGTCACTAATTTCACGGAATGTCTTTCTTTAGCTTTGTTTTTATTCTAATCTCAAATCTCCAGCCATACAAGGCTCCTTTTGAACAGTCAGAACTACAAACTGAACACCTATATGTCTTTGACAAGGATACTCACGCGATATTGACCCATTGCATGACAAATTTACATCAAATACAGACCATAGTAGAAACTAACACATACTGATGTTTTGAGAGGCAAAATTTTTTGACACTAGATAAATTAAGTATGTGCATGTTTTTCCATATGCTTCTGGCTAGCGCTTAGCCTAACGTTTTAATAACAGTGATCTAGTTTCCCAAGTTACATGGTATCAAGGATAAACAAAAAAAGATTGAGAATATTTTTCTACCGACATACACTGTAAAAACTGATTGGTTAAAATGACCAATTTTTTAGGTTGCAGCCATTGGCAATTGGTCATTTTGACCAATTGTTTAATTAGTTAGTCGCATTTGAGCAATTAAATTTGGTTCCTTTGACTATTACTCAATTGGTTGAAAAAATTGGTCATCTTTCGACCAATTTATAAAAGTTATTATAACCAACTTTTTATTGGTCATTTAGTTAATTGAGTGTACACTGTAAATTTCAAGGAGTTATTTCAGTTAACTCGGGTCAATTTAACTCGGCACTTAAAGGAGTAAATTTTACTCATAAACTGAATAACGAGTAAATTTTACTCGTAATCAAAATAACGGAGTAAATTTTAAGTATACAACCCAAAAATGGATCCGCACTTACTGCATTTTGCCGGACAGTTGTAATCGTACGACGTTAAGTAGAGTGCAAAGGTGGTACACAGTCTTCTCTTTCGAAGTTGCCTGTAGCAATTGTCGTGATTGTAGCAACATCTAAAATATTGGGTGCACAGAATTTTTATTATGCAGCTCTTTCTTGTAAAATAGAGTAACTGAATACTGTAAAACACATTTCAGGGAAACAATATACGTTACGAAAAACTCATGGGAAAAACGCTAAGAAATATTGTAAAGTTATTAGAAAGTACTATGTAAAGTTATAGGTGTACAAGGGGAGGGGGGAGGGGGGGGGGATAGAAGCTGCAATCAAAATAATTTTGGTCAAGCAGTTAAAAGTGAGGCAGATTGTACTTTAAAATGATTAGGGGCAAGAGTGGTGCGCATTAATTAAATTATTGGAAAGAGTAAGAACCATGGAACATTTTCAAAATGTCTTACGTATGTATTCAAAAAGCTCACTCACACTCACACTCAATGAGTGGAGGTTCAATCTGAGCTTCTCTTGAGCGTCAATGCTGTTTTTGAATAGCTGGAGGGGTAGTGTAATACCTTACTATGTGACTGCTCACCCTCCAACTATTCAAAAACAGCATTGACACTCAAGAGAAGCTTAGATTGAACCTCCACTCATTGAGTGTGAGTGAGCTTTTAGAATACGGGCGTAAATGTATGTTTTAAAAATTTCATTCCCTCCACTTACTCTAGAGTAATGATCAGAGTAGAAAAGTACTGTGTCAGGCCTCTGGTTAACTTGAGAATTATATTGCCCTAACGTTGTGTGCAAGTACCTGTCAACAGCATCAAGTATTTTCCCATTGCCTCCCAGACCGCAGTAACAGCCGTAGTTAAGATAATCCAAAGGATTACGCCCTGTTGTACATCCGACCATGTTGCCAAAATCGATTAAACTTCTTCGACTCCGACTGTGAATTTGTTCCACTATATAAAGTATAAGAATAGTTAAACCTTCACTGTACAACTGCATTACAGTGACCCTAAGTCATGAAGCGCCATTTATGCTAGAGCAAACGGAATACATATATAGTTTTTCTGATAATCCACCAGCCGCCTGAGTATTATACGTCTACGTACATATATAGTATATTGTGTACAAATAAGTATTAGAAGAACGATATCAGGAATCAATTCGTTCCCAGAAGTTCAGAACCATTGCCAGTAGCCTATACTCAGTATTGACCATGCACCAGTATACAGATTACTGTGTTTTAAAGGCTCTTCTTTTACAGTTGTAATTTTTCCTGCGATGTTAGGTGCGATTTTCTTCTTCCGATAGATGTGAACGAGTGGATAAGTTATGAATGTTCAGATGAGGGTACATGTTACTCCGAACATTCGTAACTCATCGTTCACATGCATCAGGAGGAAAAAATCACACTAGAAATCGCAGCAAAAATTATTAAAACACTTATGCCCCAGTCAAACGAAAACAAAGAGAGTTGATAACGAAAACAAAGAGAGTTGAAACATGAGAGTTGACTGGACCGATTACTGGTCAAATTCTCTCTCGTTACAATCGTCGGGGTCAGCAGTCTAAAGCAGCAAGGTACACTGGAAAAAATTTTGAAAATCCATAGAATGGAAATCGTATATATGGACCTTTACTTGAAATAGAATGGATTTTTTGATTATCCATAATAATTGTATATTTCCATGCTATGGATATAGTATCGAAATAGTATGGATATACTATGGATTTAGTGGTGCAATTGCAAATCTCATAGACATAGTATATATGGATTTCACATTTTTACCCAGTGGTACACGAACTCTATGAAATAAAAGCGATATAAGCCGAGCTTAAATAAAATACGAACTAGAGCCACATATACGCATTCAAGCACATCGGGCCATTCGGGGTTCAACAGGTTGTGCCATCTATCTGATTCCCTATGACATACTCAGATCAGTTACGATAATTCTAGATTTGTACATTTATCGATTCTGTGAACTTTGCTGAGCATCGATAGGTTGTAAGATACTGACTACGTCTGTTCATCAGTGTACGAGTAGTGCGAACAACAAATATAAACGTACATATATATCGTACACAAATTCACGGTGAAATTTACTAAATTGGTCTAAAATATAGCCACTTACCGCTTTCAGTACCACTGAGGATTACAACGGCCAGCATTATCAAAAGATACATTTGACAATTCATAGAACAGTGCATTCCTGTACATTTACCCATTCTTAAACTCACAAAACACGGAGTGAAAATAGTGTTTTTGTTTAATCAACAAAGATCAAGTAATGCGAACCACCGTATAACGTCCACGTATATATTTGTTGCATTCCTGTTTATGGCTTGAAAGCAATCAAGTCAATATTGAAAATTGATCCATGAGTATCAGCTCGCGGTTGACCTTAGATGTTTCGTTTCAGCTGCATCGGAGCGACAGAAGTATTTTAAGACTAGACATTTTAACTGTTGGCTTTGTCGAACAAGCATTACCATAATACAGTGATTTCATTAATATAAATATTAATGAATGAGGTCGCTACATTCTCTCCCTAGCTTGTCAACCTGATTTCAAGGACTCTGAACACAAGTACAATTCATATTGAACACTTATATTACATATTTCAAAATTTCGGAAAACGTAAATATTAACATATACAAATAATTTGCCAATAAAGTTAACTTGTAATTCCAATTACGGTAAAGCCTTCTATAATATGTATGTGTTTTAATTAGTTCTAATTGACCATCTAACCTCTAATCAGTATTGCTACATGTAATTCTTATCATTGTTAGGAAAGTACCAGACCCAGGTATTCTATGAATAATGGCCAAAAAATGAAAATATACTTGCAGCTAATTTATTCTACACACGAATAATTCAACATTTGTTATTTTTATGTAAAAATATAAAAATATATACTTAATTTACAATTTATAATACTTTTTTAATGTTTCAATTTCCCATATATCAATATTCATAGTTTGGCAGCATCGCTATGGTTGCCACATCACGTAAGCATACTTATGCATGTAATACAAGTTTCTCATCACTGGATAAAAGTGGTGTCGTCGTGCCTAAAATATAAAAAATATTTTTTACAACATATCGTCCCAGGGGGGAAGATATCGTAATTGTAAAACAGGAGAAGCTGTGTTTTACAATATATTACACTTTATTGAATATTATCCAGCACTAACGCAGCTAGGGTTTATATTCTCAGTATAAAAGTGATCTTCTATCCAGAAATTTTAAGGGCCCCTTTTAAGTAGGGGGCCAAGTGAAAAGTGCTCCCCTGCCATCAAATTGACCAATCAACATATAAAAGGACTGAAATCAGAATTCATGTGTGATCAGATTTTTCATCAAATTCTCAAATCAAACAATGGCATGGATCTCTCTGATGGATACATGTGTCAGTTCATTTCCTTCTTTCGGTACCTCTTATAATCCTCTACTGGAAACAGATATTACTAGGGATATGAGCCGATTAATCAACCAATTATTTCTGTGTAATCGGCCACTTGCCGATTATTGACCAGTTGGACCAAGTGGTTAGCACACTTGCCTTTCACCTCTAAGGCTGCAGGTTCGAATCTCAGTGAGAACTTCTCAATGTGACTCGAACCCAGACCTCATGTGAAAAGAGTAAAAGTCGACGCTCTGCCGAAAGTCGTGGGTTTTCTCTGGGTACTCCATGTTTCCTCCCACAGGGAAAGTTGACATGGGTGGGTTAGGCACATAGGTTTCCAGAGGACCATGGAGTCATCAGTGTTCGTACTGTCAAGTGTCATCCTCTATAAACAAAGTCTCTCTCTCTCTCTTTCTTTTTTCATTAGAAATAAATGAAAATCTGTGTATTCATTGTGTTTTTGGCTTTTTGCACATGTTTAACAATCTTTTCACGTTATAGAGCGACATGCAGCTGCAACACAAATATGTATAAATACCATCTTGCATTTATCTCCTCTCTTATCTCTTCATGGGAAACACGATTAAGTGGGAAAATTTACACTTATACAATCATGTGACCCCCATGACCATGTGTGTAGCAGGATTTCCTCTTAGTGGAAAACATTGTGTGCACAGACAACCATTACATGAGACAAAAGAGAATGTCATGAAAAAGAAGTGGAAAACTTTTCAATTTGTATTTATAGCTTTAGAAGGGAGGAAGAGACGTGAATGAATGCCAGAGATACTGTAGCCAAGTGCTTTGCTACATTAGTTTCTGAAGTTTGATTTTAACACTCAAAAGCATTTGTGGTTCACCTGAACAACTAATGCCTACTGGTAAATGTGAATAATTGGCTATGGCTGATTAATCAGCTGATTATTTGGTATTATTGGCCAACGATTAATCAAATCGGCTAATCTGCAATTTCAGTAATCGGCTCATCCCTGGATATCACACTCCAATCAGAGATCTCAACCAACTCTGTTGTCTGTGCAGGGAATCGGGGAGAATCTCGATTTGAAAGGCAACGGTCCAATCATGCAATAAGCATTTGGAACAGTTTACCCTTGATTGTCCCCATCACTGATCTAGAAATACTTAACCATTTCTAGATCAGTGGTCCCCATGGGTGAAGAGTGGAGAAGGCAACTGCCCCCCCCCCCCACTGCACCTGAGGTTTAGGCACCCCTGATAACATTTCAAAAGGTTGGTGCCAGTCTAAGGTAGTGGTGATAAAAGACAGCTGTGGTGTGAAGGGTATTTATTTATTTAGCTTTGCCAACTAGGGCAGGGTCACCACAACAGCATATGCCAATTACTGTGGGCCCTTTTTACCTAACCCACCCTGTCAACTTTCCCTGTGGGAGGAAACCGGAGTACCCGGAGAGAACCCACGACTTTTGGCAGAGCGTTGACTTTTACTCTTTTCACATGAGGACTGGGTTCAAGTCACATTGAGAAAGTTCTCACTGAGGCTTGAACCTGCAGCCTCAGAGGTGAAAAGCAAGTGTGCTAACCACTTGGCCACCAAAGCCACATACAACTATAATCTGAAAATTATAAGCAAAACTTCAATGTTTTGAGCCAAGGCCCTTCATCATAATTACTTGCTTATATTTTTCAGGTAGTTAGTACACCCTTCACACCACAGCTACCTGACAACACTCAGAGCCACCCAGGAGGGGGGTTGGGCAAAAGGGGCAACTTGCCCTGGGCCCCAGGCTTAAGGCCTCCTCCAATGTTAAAGAAAATATTAACATTCCTGCAGCATTGGGTGGGGCCCCAAACAGAGTGTTGCCCTTGGCTCCAAAAAAGCTGTGGGCGGTCCTGACAATGTTACACTGCTTACCATCATTTTGAGGTTTCACAGGTGGAATATCATTATCAGCACGGAGCAGAAAGTATCCTAAACCACTTGCCAAACACACTGCTATCAACAACCATGCATTGTAAGTCATCACAGCCAGCATAATGAAATAATTTGCAGCCACCATGAATGGAAATGACAAACTGCTCCAGATATATCTTGATGTCAAAGCAAGTTTTACACGCACATGAAGAGGAATTATATTTTCCGTGTCTTCACTTGATGGTACTGTCCTCGGATGACCACTTCTAAAAGTACCATAGCTATAAGGTTCTTCGCTTTCGTTGCATCGAGTCTGGTCGCTTCTGGTTGAATTTATAGCCCCACCATTAGCATAGCGCGACTGATAAAAACTTGCAATTTCGTACAGAAATGTAAACAAAAATAAACCCACGAAAGCGCCAACCAAAACACCCACACTGTCTATTTGCCATTCTTTGAATAACAACAGAACATGAGACGAAAAGAAGAAATAATTTTGCATGACGAGACTTGAAGTGTTTTCGTTGTATTTGATCCTGACAGTGTACGTCTCGTGACAACTGTTTTTCCCAGAAATTTAGTATGTTTTGTTATTGTTGGTGTTTCCACTTTCCCAAAATCTAAGTTCGATTTTCCCAATTTTCTTTTTATATCAAATAGAAATATGGTCGCACCTCCGATGGAACCTTCTCCCGAGAAATGTAGCAAGTGCATGCTATACTATCAACCAATGAAAATGCTCGCGAGTTATACATAATACACACGTTTTTGTTGTAATTGCTAAACTACAAGTTTCGGTCAATAAAGCACTGAATTATTAGAAAAACGTTGTACTCAGCCATGCCTTTAAAAAGGGAGAGGGGGACATACATTCCTTAGAAATTTGTTTCCAATATTCAGCAGTATTCCTACTATCAGTACTTAAAGATGATGTCCACTCCTGTGCGCATGTGCCAACTTTGTTTACGTTTGAACTGCTATATTTGTAAAATATGATATACTAACTGAATATCTAACACTTTTCTGGTTCGCCATGCTTGTAAATGAATATAAACTCTACGTTTCAATTCAAAAAAGTTCGAAAGATGCAACATTTGGGCAATGTTTATATTTGGGGGTCCCCATAGGTTATGAGCAGAACTGATGCGCAGAACGGAGTGGACATCATCTTGAATATTAATCCTAACTTTATAAGTACTCATATTTCTATCTCATAAATATACATGTTCAAGCTATATTAAAACCCAGAAATCAATATTTAATATCCCATTTCCAACACCGACCCTAATTATTAGAACATCGACATTAGAGAAAAACTCAAGAGGATTTTCATTGGTTGATTGCGTTACACCCACTACATACCTACATGTAAGAAAATTCTTTATATTTAAAATACTCATTAATAATTCATAAACCTTGTGGCAAATCATGTGATTCATGTCAGCCATTATATGTCACGTGGAGCGACTTTATATCTGATAAACTCATCTTCATTAGTATGATTCTTTATACTGAATTGTTCATCCTAATTAGTATGATTATACTGAATTGTTCATGCTAATTAGTATTATATATCTGATAAAACACTCCTAGTCAATCCCAAATCAGGAAATTAGCGCCCACAGAAAAACAATTATCACTTACACCTGCAGCATTACTTTGTGTACGATATTCCGTTTCATGTCACAACGAAATTACCAGTCGTGTATTAGCATGGCCTTGTTAGTATTTTATAGCTATATTTGCGTGCAATTTGATTCAGTGAACTTTTGAAAAGGTCGAAAACAAACTTTCGAAAACAAATTCTGTTGCATAATATAATGCCGGTAGGGGGAGGGGACTGCCTCCCCCCCAAGAAAAAGCGGGAAACCATGGAAAACTTCGACGTTTGAAGCAAACTTCCCGATGAACAGTGGCGTAGCGCTCATTGGGTAGGGTTAGTTCAAAAACTGAGGGCCCCCGACAGTTAGGGTCCCCATCACCCACGGCCTATCGCCGGCCCAGAAAATTAGAGAATGTAAAAAATGCAGGTTAAGAATCAATGGGGAAATGCAATAAATGCTAAATAATAAAGCCTCCATCGACAACGGTGGCTGATTTTTTAATTCTATCTCAAATAAAACAACTGTTATTCTTATTAGTTGTTACATGTGTTGGAGACATTTATTGTTATAGATCATTTTCCAGAACATTTTATAAATATTCAATATAAATATAATATCTCAGTCAAACAATGACAACAGGGGCCCCTACACCAAATATGCCAAAGGGCCCCCTGTTCCTCCATTACGCCACTGCCGATGAAGTGCCTTCGCTCGAAACGTCTCCTTGTATTTTTGAGGTAGTTGCATGCCCGTCCACCGAAGTTTTTGTCATTAATGGAAGATATTATATAATATTTGTGAAACAAAAGCAAAACAAGCACCTGTTCAAAAACAAAGCGCACTAAGTTAATAGTAAACAAAAATTCCATTACTGTTTCGCTTGTAGTGGGTTTCGCAAAGCCGCATTTTCAAATCATGAAGCCTAGAATGCGTGTCGAGTTTCTTATCGTCTTTGCTGTTTGCAGATATTTCCCGATTTCTATGTCCATAGAACTTGACTGTCACAGAGAACAGAAATTTGTCAAAGCTGAGCAAGGTATGTTGTGTTTTGTATCAAATATCTGATATTTATGTAGCGAGCACTTGCATAAATGTTGATAAATATAACTGAAATAAATTAAATATACAGTAAAAAAATTGTTTCAAATTCACCTCCTATTCTAGAAAACTAAATCTTTTTCTAAGAAATACATGTATAGTGTAAATTTTTTAAAATTAATATATTGGATTAAGAAAACGTTGATTCATGCGCTTATTGTTTTCTATTAAAATTTAGGTGATGATAGTTGATGATATATAAACTTAGATGGGCCTTAGATTTAGTGTGGCACCATGCATCAAGAATTAATAACGTCATTATTGTAGCTGATTAAATTTATAGCTTTATATTTCACAGTCCCATCCTGTATATTATATATACTATGACGCAATTACTGAAGTTATGAAAATGCCGTAAAAACTTATACATTTTTCTGTAAACCGTAATTATATGGAAAAATATTTTCACCGATTGTTTCATACATATACCATTACCATCCTCAATGCATGTCTGTCTTTCCTAACGTTTTAATTTTATCGCTAACTATTTTTCCGCTTGATTGATATTGGATTAAAATTATGAGCGATAAGAAATTTTTTTTCAAAATACAGCAATTCAACGACAAAAAAGAAAAAGAAGCAAGATGAAAACGTCATAGTTTATGGTAACAGGGCTATATAATGTGGAAAAATAAACTACCCGACTTAGTTTTTGAATTGCAAAAAACTCCCAGTGACCGCGAAAGTGTGTGGGACATTTGAGTGAACGAAGCTATATTGTGGTCAGAATATTTTATATATAAAAAATAGTATATATATATATATATATATATATATATATATATATATATATATATATATATATATATATATATATATATATATATATATATATATATATATATATATATATATATATATATATATATATATGAGCACATTTACTCAACTTTTTGAGTGAAGAAGATTCACTAATCCAAAAATGAGTCCTCATAAATGTGATTTTCCAAGTTTCCAATTTTGGAAAAAATTACCGATTGTTAAATGGTAGATATATGCAAGCCAGCATGAACAAGTATACATGTATGTTTATCAGTGTAGTGATGTTTGGGCACATGTTGTGTGCATGTGATGCTACACGTGACTGTGTGCATGTGATGCTACACGTGACTATAATGTTAAGAAACATTACATTCTTCAGCTTCCCTTCAGAGTGGTCAGAATTACTATAAAATATGAGTTATAACATCTTGTATTTTAGAACTAAATTATTGAGTTAATATTTAACGTAAAACGTTACTATATATCAATAACAATGTCATAAACAAAAGGTGCCGCGTAAACTTAATTTCAAATCACAACCTGTTAAAACCTAAACCACCGTTGTGTAAATTGAAATGGCAACATCGATGCTGATTGGTCAGGTTAATATCACCTTGGCAATGGAATAACAAACGCGCATCCGGAATAAAAAACATGTTTTTCGGCACGTTTTGGCTATTTTTCATCCCCCACCCCGTCGCCACTTTAAATGGGCAGGACCAGGGACCCTATTTCAGTTAAAGCCGGGGGCGCTATAGCACAAAGTTTCGCTACTGCTTTGTAATTAGCCTGCGAGCAGGCTACTTTGTAATCAGAAATTAATGGATTATAACCTGAGATTGCGGCAACGTAACTGTAATTCTCATTAGAAATACTAAACTCCATTGCCTTAGTTCCACAGCACGATTGTGCGTTTCGTACATGTCTATTTTTGAGAATTAAAAAAAAAATAGTACAGCAGATTTAAATACAAAAACAACCATTGTCATTTATTGACTTTAGCTATTCATTGCAGGAATTTTTTTTAATACATTTAACCTTTGCACGAATTTTTTTCTAGACTATTAGTACTTCTCTGTTTGCTTGCACGAAATTTTTTTCTCTGACGTTATGGCTGCACGAATTTATTTTTTTTCCAGGCATTTTTCTTTGCACGAATTTTTTTGGGGGAATTTTCACCCGCCCCCCCGCCCCTACCGAGATTTCTAATGGTTCGCCCCATAGTCTCCTTCGCAGACATTGTTATTGCTCCGACTCTCGCTAACGAACGTCTGAACTGAGCTGCACATTCCTTTGTTTCAGGCGCCAATCATATTTCAATGATTCATATAGAGCAAAAGCCAATCAGAAGTCTTTTATCAGTTTGTGCATTTTTGTAGATTAATATACAATAACTTAGTTAAGTTGGGACAGCCAAAACAGTTCCGAACAGTCATGTGATCGTGCTCTGTTCCATTCCATCCGTGTTCCAAGAGTACTCCGAAAAGTAAATGGAGAAGCTTCTTTCTCACTTCCAGAAATTAAGAAGTTTTGTTGTGATTAGTTGACTTGCAGGAATGGAATGTGCAGCTTAGTTCAGCAGACGTTCATAAGCGAGGGTTGGAGCAATAAGAACGTCTGCAAAGGAGGCAACGTTTGTCTTCTTTTTTCTTCCGAATTTAATTTAGTGTATGAGTATAATACCATGCGTTCTCTGGAAGAAATAAATCTTAAAATTCCCTGAATATTTTTAATTTTATTTTCAATTTTAGATTTATCAAACAAGCCTAACTAGCTTCGATTTGGTTGCTTTTTGCAAATTTCAAAAGGCTATATTTTAGCTGTATGGATTGTTTTCAATTTAAAACTCTTACACTTACATTCAATAGCAGTCAAAAAAGTTTTATTAGCCTGGTAATTCATAAAATAATGCAAAATTGTGGCAGCCAGTTTTCGAATCGTTAAGACTCACGCCAAAATACTTATTGTTTTTTTTTTAAACACAAGGTAACGTCAGCCAAAACAAGCAGAACATGCATGTTAGCAACGCGTGTAACTACATTCTTGTTTTTTTCTTCTTCTGCAGATGGTCTACCGGCTGTAAATGCAATTCAAGTGATGACGACATCAAATGTAGAATTTTGCACTATAAAATGCTTGGACAATTCTGGCTGTAAATCTATCGTTTATTTATTGTCAAACTCAGACGATAACTGCCTGTTAAGCGATGAGATCAACGGAGCACAGTCAAGCAACGCATCAGTTACGTATATCAAGACGTCTCAAGTGACATCGGTAAGATGAGATTTAACTACAGTAAAGCCCAGCATAAAAGAACCAGTGAATTTGGACTTCAGGCTGAAACGGTTCTTAACTGGTTCTTATTTCCAGTAAAAACAATTGTTCCTGGTTTAGAGATTTCAACCTTTTATTGTATACAATTGAACTAGTTTTGATAAAATAAATGCACAATGTTTCATGCTAGCAACAATAATTCATGCTAGCAAGATTACAGTATTTTGTTTTCTTCCTAGTACTTGCTAACTTATTCAGCTAAAAGTTTAATAAGGTTTTTGAGTACCAGTTAACTGAGGTGGTCCTTCTGAGGTGGTTCTTCCGAAATTTCAGGCTGGGCATGGCTCTTAACCCACTGGTTATTTTCCCACTGGTTTTTTTATGCGGGGCTTTACTATATACCTGGCAAAGACTGCAATATCCAGCTGGATGCAATAAATCAATTTTTTACCTGTACCTCACTGGTACTTTAATCGGTCATTACTGCCGTGTGCTTGAGGTATTCACTGAGGAACCTATTTTCATCAGTCCAGTTTCATGCAAAGACATAATGGAAATGTTGGATTTAGGGGCGGACCATTATAAAGTGATGGCGGAGAGGGGGAGGGGAAGATTTTCAACTTGCAATTTTTTTCTTGGATTTTTTCTTTGTGGGAATCCACCCCCCCCCCCCTGCCGCTTCCTACGGTTTTGAATACTTTGCAAAGTTTGTTGGCCGGCAATGCCATACCAACAAAAAATCCCAGAAGTACCAGACCCTGAACTATATCTGAAGGTGAACTTGCCCAAACACATATTCTGTTTTTTTACCACATGAGATCAAATGTGAACGGCGATAATGGTTATTTATTGTTAATGTTGCAAGATATAGTGTGCACAAACCTTCATTGACAAGCATTTCAAAATTTTGGTATGTCAAATAAGTTGAACAACTTGTTTAAAAGCCAAAATGTATATGTATAATGTAATCGTTTACAAGACTTATAGGAGAAAAATTGATCTATTTTAGACAGGGACTCGCCATGGACCCGTCTTGATATTGCGGAGTGTTACTTTCGAAAAACAGATTTGAAAAATACGCCGTTAAAGAAAATATTTAAGCATTATTGGTGTATGATGTTGGGCAAGCATTGTTGGTTCTGCATGAACGTAATGGACCATTTGCATTTATAGACTACAGTTTGATCTCAACAAGTCTAGATAAATATTTCATCACAGCTTTAAAGAGCATCACAAAGTTAGTAATATTCCAAAGTTTCGTTGCGAAATGTTGTAAAATGCGGGTAATATAGCCATAGGCGTACCGGGCGGGGGCGTTTGGGCAGTCGGGCAATATTCGATCAACAGTCGAATGAGTTAAGTCAATTTTTTCGAAAATGTGACTTTTCGAAAATTTGTGTTATGTTCCGAAAAATATTGGTTGTCCGGAAAAGTTTTGACCCCTAAAATGGTACACTGACCGAAATTTTTTTGGCGACGGGGGGGAGGGGGGGAGGTCGCCAAAATAATTTTTCCGGAAAAAATTTTTTGGTACTAGTCGGGCAAAATCCCGAAAAGTCGGGCAATTTTCTTTCCGCCCCCCTAAATTTTTCCTTCCGGTACGCCCATGAATATAGCCTTGCAAAGTTTGCCATTTTACAGTCATTTTCTATTACCAACGGGAAATTGACAAACCCAAGGGTATTGGGCTGTCAATTTCCCCCGCGAAATGCAAAATGACTGAAAAAAACGGCAAACTTGGAAAGGCTATATACATATATTATCCGCATTTTACAACATTTCGCAACGAAACTTTGGAATATTACTAATTTTGTGATGCTCTTTCAAGCTGTGATGAAATTTTTATCTAGACTTGTTGAGATCAAAATTTAGTCTATAATGCAAATGATCCATTGGGACCTTATAATTTTAATTATTTTAATTCAGGTCTGTCAAACCAATATTTGCGAGCATGGTTCAACTTGCACTGATGTATGTACTCCGCCATATTATCACTGCACTTGTCTACCTTTGTATTTTGAAGGAGAGCGTTGTGAACAAAATTCAAGTAAGTATACTTCAACACTAGATTGGTAGAATGAGCCAGACTCTCCGCTTCCGCTCCCCGGCCCTCTCAAACACGGGAAGCGGAAATACAGGGTGTATAAAAAAAAACTGAACAGATTTGAAATTGCTCTCAATTTCGCAAAACACCTATTTGTATCCGGTTTTTTATATATATATAGCTTCTTTGGGTACTTATAATGTAGAGTAATGAAAAGAATTTCTCAAACTCAAATTGTGTGAACCAGGGGGGGGTGTCTTTTCCAACAAACTAAAAATGACTTGCGCACAAAATTTAAAAGCTGTAATCATATCTTGAGTTAATACATGGAAAATTTGTTGGGTTTTTAATTACTGTACAAAATTTCAGAAATTTTGTACAGCAATTATAAACCCGACAAATTTTCCATCTATTAACTCAAAATATGATTACAACTTTTAAATTTTGTGCGCGAGCCATTTTTAGTTTGTTGGAAAAGACACCCCCCCCCCAAGTTCACAAAATTTGAGTTCGAGAAATTCTTTTCATTATTCTACATTATAAGTACCCAAAGAAGCTATATATATATAAAAAAAACGGATACAAATAGGTGTTTTGCGAAATTGAGAGCAATTTCAAATCTTTTCAGTTTTTTTTTATACACCCTGTAGAGAGCCTGGTTTGCGAGATTTCGTATACATACTGCAATGCCGTTGCAAGCATGGTACCAGTTTCTGGCAATCTCAGGAGAAATAGATCAGCATCTGTCGTAACCTGCACGAGTTTCCTATGACGTCAAAAATTAGAAAAAGAAATTCAAAGTTGTGGTCATATGATGCGAAGCATTGCAACGCAATTTGTGACATTATATTACGAAAGTCACCGAACTGTGGAATCGCATCAAAAATTCGTATATCGACCACTCCCACAAACGTCTACGACCACGCCTACATTCGACTACATAGTTTTGCATGTTTACAATTCTAATTTTGAACAGCCAATCAGGTTCTTGGTAATTGGCTGTTTAAAATTAGAATTGTAAACGTGCAAAACTATGTAGGCGCGGTCGTAGACGTTTGTGGGAGTGGTCGATATACGAATTTTTTATGCGATTCCACAGTTCGGTGACTTTCGTAATATGTAAAGTAGTCGCAGAAAAATTGCAGACATAGCCCATAGTTTAACCAATGTCGTCATTTTTATCCATTTATTTCGTTTCCATCCCTTGAAAATATATATTATGTCGGCAAAGTAGAATAAAAGCAATGTTACATTTCGCTGTGACAAATAGTGTTTATATTTAAAATACTTATTAAAAATTCATAAACCTTGTGGCAAATCATGTCAGCCATAATATGTCACGTGGACTGACTTTATATCTGATAAAATTCATCTTGTTAGTATTCTTTATATGATTCTTCATCTTAATTAGTATGATTATATAATTGTTCATCCTAATTAGTATTCTTTTGTAGTCGTATTTTAAGCTATTCAAAACACTCGAACTCGCGTTTTATCATATCTAAAACGCCCGGCTGCGCCTCGCGTTTTTAAATATGATAAAATTACACTTCTTCCCGTGTTTTAAATAGTACTTAAAAAGGACGTTTACACTATGCAAATATTGCTTGTTGTAACACGACTTGATCATCCAGGGCACGAAAGGATTCAAATGCATTATATTAGCATTCGGGACAAATTTAAACCCTTATTACAACCACAGAGAAGGGATATACAGAAAGGAAACAGACACCTCGATAACCTGAATTTTTGTGTCACGCGTTCCACGCAGGTTCCACGCGCCACGCAAAATCTTCCAGCCAGACCGTCGCTGAAATTTCATAGCTAAAGATAGGGAAAACGCCGTTCAAAAGGTGAAAATCGATTTTTTTTTAAAAAATGAGATACTCATGGACGTTTTGTTCAATAAATTATTGTAGAATAACGGTAAGCGATCACTTTTATTTATTTCTTTTTATTAAAAGTGTCAACATAACATTTTATTTTGCAAAAGTTTGTTTATTCCCCTACCTACTCCTTATTACAATCGTGAAAAGCACTGGCTGGAGTTTCAGATACTCATATATAAAAAACAAAGCACCAAATGATATAAATTCCTCAAAATATAACTCTTGCATAAAAACAAAACAAAACATGAGTACTTCTATAATATGTATAGTTTTTTCCTCTGCATGGTCAAAATTTAATAAAATAGTGAATTAATATAATTTTCTATAGTTAATAGACTGATTATATCGGCGTGACACAATTTGCCGCTTGTTTCCACTCTATACTATGTCTTCTCTGTGTTACAACTGACCAAGTTTGTAACAACACTGTTGACAACTTGTTCTTTGGGTGCAGCACGACCTTGTTCAAGCCTGTCAACCGAGAACAGGTTGTTCGGACTCACGCATGTAGTGAGATTTTAGTGTTGTCACTTCAACTAACTTTACAATTTTCTAGAATGTGAGAAAATGTCGCCCTGCCAAAACTCGGGCACGTGTTCTCCAAGTCAAGTAAATCCGTTTTATACATGCAGCTGCCCAACCTATTTCACTGGAACTAACTGTGAGATCAACACAAGTAAGTGAGAAGTTAGTTTTTACTACTAGCGCGCTTTTGAAGAAGATGTTTTAGGGACACGTAGAATAAATTCTCTGATTTTCATCATCGCCCAACGGCCCAACTATATCACTGGAAAGTTTTTCAAAATCCTTACTATGGCAATAATAAGGATCTTGGTTGAAAATAATGTGGGAATCCAATTTTCATAGTAATTGCAATTTCCATTCTATGGATATAGTATGGATTTAATGATGCAATGGATTTAATAACTCAAATTCCATAGCATAAATTTCACCATTTCTCACAGTGTATTTTAAAAGCCGCATGAATATTTTTTTTCATATTGTTATAGTCCATTTTCCAATATTTTATTAATTCGGTTTTTTTTAAACGAAACGCTATTTTCCACTACGCGGAATTTTCAGTGCGGAGTGGAAATTCTCCGTGTCTTGTGATTTCTCGGGTAGAAAAGACAAAGAGAAATTCGGTCCGCGCGGAAAAATTCCGCCTGTAGAAAACGGCATTAAACTGCCAACTTTAACTGACAAACAAAACAAACTCGAAATAAGTTCTTTGCATGTTTGCACGGCGAAAAATATAATAGTTTTGTTTGTGGAAACACCACGTAAATTTATTACTGCAAAGCTTTGGATCCGTAAGCCCATATTAAGGCCGTTTTCCACTAGGCGAATTTGTTCGCGCGACGCGAAGCGAAAACCGAAATCCGGCAACGTGATTGGTCGGCGAAAAAATTCGCGGCGAAAAAGTAGGATCGCTTCCTACTTTTTATCTGTTCGCGCGAAAAAATTCGCCTAGTGGAAAACGGCCTTTAAGCCCGTTCTCCACTACGCGAATTTGCTCGCGCGACGCGAAGCGAAAACCGAAATCCGGCAACGTGATTGGTCGGCGAAAAAATTCGCGGCGAAAAAGTAGGATCGCTTCCTACTTTTTATCTGTTCGCGCGAATAAATTCGCCTAGTGGAGAACGGGCTTTAGACAGCTTAAGATCTACGACGTCGACGTCAGCTAGGACGTCAGGGCTATGCAGAGGACTGGGACTAGGATGTCGTCCTAATGTAGTCCCAGTTCTCTGCTTAGCCCTGACGTCTTAGCTGGCGTCGACGTCGTAGATCTTAAGCTGTCTATTATTAGCACTGATGAAGATCCGGGCTTACGGATCGAAAGCTTTGCACTAATAAATTTACGTGGTGTTTCCACAAACAAAACTATTATTAAAACAAACTCGAACTAGAAATTTCATTGCATTTTTGTTCGTGCAGATGACAAAAATGTGTAATGAAATATGTTTATTTCGATTTGTAAGAGTCTCACTTCAGACACCACAATGAATTACTATACTGATAAATTATTGTTTATTTATTGAGGAATTTATTTTATGTGGCCTAAGCATATAACCATGTCAGTAACAGTCTCAACTGTTTTGTAGCTCCTCGTCAAATGTAACATTAATTAATTATGTATCATTATTACATTCATGTTGATTATGTTATTTGTCTCTCAATCTACAGGATGCTACAACAGCCCGTGTTATAACGGAGGACATTGTTATACCAAGTCTGCCTATCCATATTTTGATTGCTCGTGTCCAGGGCCGTTCAGTGGTTCTACATGCGCTATAAATACAAGTACGTTATAGTTTTATATTTCTTAATTTATACATGCAGTCAGAACATGTGAGAATATATTACGAATTTGAACCTGGGACATAAATTACAAAACCAATAGAAATTCCGCAAACAATTTTATTTCTAATTTCAGTGTATTTTATTCAAATACCAATAATTCAGGTCATAAGCATGTGGAAATAAGCTGACTTCGCGCACACTAGCCAACACCGTGGTCTTTCGAGCCGGATTTAAACTAGAAAAGCAATTGCAACCCTGCCATGCAGCAATTACGATAAAGAATGATTTCACACAATATTACTACGCGATACAGTTGATTCTTCGAATCGGATTTTGAAAAAGAAAGATTACTCTAGCGCCCAATTTAATTCGCCAGGCCCGCCTTTCAGGTGTTCCATGAAGAGCTAACCGTCTGTCATGCAAGCCAACTCAGGCGTGTCATTGCATAATAATTAAGCGCAAAACGTTCCTAAATCCGGCTCAACTGAAAAACACTGTGCTGTCCCAAATTCATACAAAGTGTTGTGTTCTCTTCCTCAAAATTGGACTTGCGGTTCGATTGTATTGCTTGAACATGCCTGAAGTCGGTGCTGTACCTTCAGCGCTAGCAATAATCCTGTACAATTCGTACACGTATCAAAAGCAAAATAAATTTAATTTAGATGGATTTAAATTTAGACTCGTTTCAGACAATCCTGGACAAAACATCCGCGACACTTCTAATTATTTGATAAAATTTTCTCACAAGTTTAGGAAAACCTCCCCTTTCCTCACAAGTTTAGAAAAACCTCCCCCTTACCCTCACCATTCATTGTCGATTACATTCCCAGAATACGGATAAAGCAACTGTAATACGTCCAACATTGTATTTTTGTTGGAGGGGGGATGCAGAATGCACCGCCTTTCTCACTTTCAGTAACAAATGATGAAATGACTATGTCTTCGTTTACTACAATTACTAGCGATTGACCAGTTAGCGATTGACCAGCAAATGACTTTCAAACAAGACATATACAACAAACGTCAGCAAATAAACTTTACTCTTTTCTGTTATGTCTTGTTTGAAAGTGATCTGCCAGGCCTTTGTATTTGTCTTTAAACAAATCATAATTATCTTTCATTCCAGGATGTAACGCCAACCCCTGTCAACATGGGGGTACGTGCTATACTCAAAATCACCATCCATATTTCATATGTGCATGTCCAACTGGTCGCTGGGGAGATGTCTGTGAAAAAAGTAGGACATTTGTTGTATGTTTGCAGTTTCATTTGAATAGGTTAGATTAAGTCCAGACGCAGTGCTGTAAGTAAATGTAGCAGAAATTATTTCGACAAAGTACAGTGCCAACATTAGTTAAAGGGTATGAGCAACAAAACATTTTATTGCTTCATCTGAAAGAGCATGAAAAAAAAGCCAATTGGCCGTTTAATGCTCTATTCTATCACATCCGGTTCCGAAGTTATACGCAAAAATGTGCAAAATATAAATTGCTGATTCAGCACAACGTGTGACCTCATTAGTTGGGTAAGTATGTTTATTGAATAGTAAACTAAAGCATAGCTAAGTTATTATTGGCTCAAATCAAATGAAATTTTGCATACATATAGTACATGACGAGACGCATGGGAATATACTGCTAATTTTGTTGTCAAGGCAACACAATCGTTCACAGGCCCCTTACACTGATTTTGAATAACTAGTTGCATTTATCTATGTGTATGTCATTTTCGAATTATTATCATGCAAGTAAACGTTTGGCATACATAGGTATGTACACATACTTCTGATATTATTTTATTCTTATAAGTATCATGAATAAAGCTGTTTTATAAAATTGGCGCAAGGGGACTGGGAACGACATTGTTACCTAGGCAACAAAATTAGAAGTATTTTTCAATGCATCCCATCATGTACAATGAGTATGCAAAATTTCATTTGATTTGGGCCCATAATAACTGAGCTATGCTTCAATTTAGTATTCATTAAACATACTTACCCAACTAATGACGTCACACGTTGTGCTGAACCAGCAACTTATATTTTGCACATTTTTGCGTATTTCGGAACTAGATGTCGGCTTATTTTTTTCATGCTCTTTCAAATGAAACAATAAAATTTTTTGTTGCTCATACCCGTTAAGTTTAACAGAACTGAAATGTTTTGAAACTAGTTAAACCTGGCTGAAAATGATAACGCGTTACTTTTCTAAAATGAAATTGAATTAAGAACAAAAAATCGTGAAAAACTTCGTAACTATTTACGCTTTTTTGTGTAACTTTTACTGGTATGCAGTTCCTTTTTTGAGAATAAAACTGTTACCGTAACTAGTCCCAAAAATAAATTAAGTCACTTTTACAGCCATGTTTAGATGTGAATGTGCATTTGGTTATCAAGGATAAGTTTGTAATAAACATGAGTGCGAGACTATGTTGTTTGTTTTACATTGAAAACTTTTTTTCTTTAGATTTATTGGCGTGGTGAAGAGCTAAAGAGACTAAAATCAGGACAACTTGCTTACTTGCACATTTTGTTAATTTTGGTTTGTTTAAATTTGTGAACCGTTTATAAAAGTTATATTTTTCACTGCACATTCACCTAGAGCAGGTGCCGCAGTTTCGAAGACGAACTTAACTCTGTGAATTCCAGGAGAGAGGCAAAGCAAGGATCGTAGCCTACGTCATTCTATGAGTTCGAGTCTATCACGTGAGGTGCCTGGTGTCGAGACTGTCAGAGCAGTATTACCCAAAACAAAATTTAATTAGATTGCGCATCCGATTAAGATTGTTACGCGCGCATGCAATGTAAACACGTGCACGGTGCACTTGAATACAAATATTAAATCAAATAAAAACCATGAATATTATTTTGAAAGAGTTTTTATGCGAGCTTTTGATGTGCGAACTTAAATTGTATTAGGCAACGTTTACACTACACCGGCTAGCTTTCCGTAGCGGCGCGAAACGGGTTTTTTTTAATTACATGCAAGATGGTTAAGGTAATTAATTCCGCAGTAATTGTCTCCGAAATGAGAGTGTGCCGTGATCATGAAATCTCCCAGGCATGGAGTTTATGATATATTTAAAGTAAAATCACACAAAAAAGTCGGGGTTACCGAACTCGTTAAGAAGACATGACAATCACAATATACCACCCAGGTGATCTGAAAACACGGAAAAGTACTGGCACTAGCTGTCAAATAGAAATCCATTTTTCGATCCAAACTACAAAATTTCTCCTGAAATATGATTTACTTTGTTTCCAAATTTCTAGTAGACTTAAAATTTTCTTTACTAAACATGATTACTAAATTTCAACAAGTTTCATAAAGGAAAATAAAAGATATAAGCGATTAAAAACAGCAAAATGGATTTTTATTCGGTACCTAATTCCAGGCCTTTTACTCACGGTCAGATCAGCTAGACCTTTACCCATTTCCTTTACCCCAATATGGCGCCATCTTGACGCTCATTACGAAAGAGATTATTTCGCTGGCCTCAAAGTGACAAAACGTAACAAGGCAACGGTTTTACTAACACTAACCCTACTCCAAACACCAACTCTAACCCTAACCCTAATCCTTACCCTAACCTAACCCTACTCCAAATTTGTTTCTAAATCAATCTTGAAGAGAAAAGTTTTGACGAAATGTCATTCTGAGGTCAGCGAAATAGTTGATGCCGCTCATTACGAGTAACAGCAAAATCACAACAGCCCGATATTTATTGACGTTTTTAGCGCGGATTTTGCTTTAGTAAACCTATCTTGTAATTATTTTTGAAAAAAATAGTGTGTTTTGAGAAAAATGAAACTACTAAGGCCCGGTTTAGACGGCGAACTTTTCATGCGCCGAATCTAATTGTCGTAGATACGGCAAAATATCGGAAACTGATTTAGACGTCGAACTTAATTGTGCCGTACCAAATTGCGAGGACACTATATTGGACATATTAACAATGCAAATATTTGATAATCATATTATAATGTTAAAAAATAATTATGCATTAGGTTCGGCACATGAAAAGCACGGCGTCTAAATCAATGTCGAACCTGAGTCGCATATACGACTTGTCTTGTCGCATCTTCGAGTCGTGTCGAACTTAATCAAAACCTGCCGAACTTAACTGATTTAGACGCCGCTCCAGCGTCGCACTAAATTCTTGCATTAGATTCGGCGCATGAAAAGTTCGCCGTCTAAACTGAGCCTAACATGTACAATTCTGATCCACAAATGTCATTTCCACATTTCTTTACATATGTTTCTTTGAGAGCATGCATTGATAAACGATTTTTTTCAAGATCCAGAAATGATTTTTCTTTTAATTTCGGATATGAAATGTAAAATGCATTAAAGAAATAAATTGTCAGTATACTACAGACACAGGAACCCTAGCTACACTTTTGTATGCCTTTTTTGAAAACATTGATTTTAACGTAATTCTTTGCACCAAAAATGTAACCAAAGATGTTTTCATATAACATAAAATTGTCATAAAATGATTTTTAAAAAAAATACGTATAATGGATGAAATTATAAGTTATAAGATGTGCGCAGTGAAAGTGCGCAATGCACAACTGCGGTATTACCTTAATCTAATATTAACAATCGAGTTCGGTTTGACCACTGACCTGGATGGGTTTGGCACATGAGTGGAACGGCGTTTGAAACAATGTCGACACTCCAATTCCGTCACAAAATGTGATATGCTCTACTGAACTTGTGCGGAACTTTTACTCCTCCAATTCTCCCATAGTTAACTAATTCATTATTTATTAACATTATTTATTCTCATATTATAAACGACATTAGCTCATGACTAGATTGAAACCGCTTTTGAAATGTATAAATTGCAATCTGCGACTGTTCATCATTAGATGCAAACAACGGTAATTCCCAGGACTAAAACCCCGGTGGTATGACCTAGGTACTAATACCCGCCAACAACAAAAAGAAAATATGGCGGATGGCAAGGAGAGTGTGCAAAATTTATTTCCAAATCTTTCCACTTTAAAATGGCTTGTTATCATTATTATCTTGTTAATACTTGCCAAGAAGTTTGCAACGACAAGACGGCGTCGTTTTAAGAAAAAACTGAGCGGTAGAGTGGTAATAATTACGGGATCAAATAGCGGCATTGGCTTTGCAACAGCCGCCGATTTTGCTAAAAGAAATGCTAAGGTTATATTGGCATGTCGGGATAAAGTAAAAGGACAAAGAGCTGCGAGTAGGATACAGAAAATATCTAAGAATACCAATGTAGTTTTTAAGCAGTTAGATCTGGCATCGTTGGCCTCAGTAAGACAGTTTTGTCGAACGATTTTGACTAGTGAATCGAGGTTGGATATCTTAATAAATAATGCAGGTTTAATGGCTTGTCCTCTAGAGAGGACTGAGGACGGTTTTGAAATGCAATTTGGTGTAAACTATTTAGGCCATTTCCTTCTTAGTAATCTCTTGGTAAACCTTGTGAAGAAATCTCAGGGAAAAATAATTAATGTAACATCATACATGTACAAATTGGGTCGGATTAATTTGGATGATTTAAATAGTGTACAAACTTATACTCCTTGGAAGGCTTACTATCAAAGCAAGTTAGCAGTTGTGTTAATCACTAAGGAACTAAGCAGACGATTGGCTGATTCAAAAGTAACGGTGAACGCAGTACACCCTGGGATGGTTGCGACGAACCTCTATCGGCATACTATATTCAAGTTGCCGGGCTTGTGGTACGTATTGTCGCCGATTACATGGCTCATGTGGAAATCTGTGGATGACGCCGCATCGTCAATCGTCCACCTTGCCGTGTCGGACAGCATTGAAGATGTGACTGGGGAGTATTTTTCAAATTACAAAGTGCAACAACTTGAATCACATGCACTTGACGAGGGCGTGGCAAAAAAGTTGTGGGACACTAGTATAGATTTAGTTAGTCTGAAAAACCCTCAAATTTAATTCATATATATGGACTTATTTATCAGTAAAAATGATAACTATTTATTAAATATGTTGTAATTTATTTAGGCAAGTTGAGCAAGCAATAGTATGTAATAAAGTTTGTTTTGCCTTTCAAAAGCATATAGTTTTTTATTGTTAAAAGTCCATAAAGAAAGGAAGCAAAAATGACCCAATTTGTTGTGTGGGAGAGGGAACATTTGTCAATATGCATCTACCCACAAACAGCTAAGTTCAGGAGAAGCAATGTGATGTTTGCTATAAGGCTGACTTTATGCATAGGCATACGAAATGGGGGGAAACAAAGCAGCCCTGTACACCTATGTCCATTGACTTTATGTAAAGACGTGACATCACCCCTAGCTGGGACCACAAATTATTCATGGCATGAAGAATTTCTTTGTTTGAAGGCGCCGTTGGTCGTAGATTTTTTTAAAATTTCGTAGATGTTTAAAAACTTTGAAGATTTTTTAAAGTTCAAAACGTGACATACGCGATGTATTTTCTGATCAAATGAAGGGTAACCAAGGTTTCACAGCGGGATAGATATGGGATATTTATAACACGTGAAGCGCTAGAATTTCAAATCACAGCGGTGGTGGTCCTGCTCAAATACACATTATTACATTGCCATTCCACCACTACGCAAATATCGTTTGCCATTTTCAGAGGTCGGCAATATTGTGCCTCATAATTTGGAAAATAACAGTGGTTCTTGGTGCAGGATAATATACTCTAATCTAGTCTGCCTTGTCCAGTGGTTGAATAGAGGCTGTCCACTAGCGGTCTTTAAAAAAAATCCTACATCAAAACAAAGCTCAATCCTACATCATTGCTAGCTCGCAATTATGCTGAAGAACAACGTACTGATTTTTGCCGAGAATGTGGTGTTGCCCAAAGGCGAAGTCCGAGAGGGTCCATTCTACGTGGTTATTAAAAGTGGTATTATTACAAAGATTTCTAAAGCGGAGTCAACGCTCAGTACTGTATCGCAGTGTGATCGATGTGATGCTGTCGCTTGCCACCTATTGGCCCCTGGTTTTGTCGATATCCATAACCACGGCCTAGGTAAGTGTAGGCTGCTTGGTATGTCAGTGTGGGTCGTATTCTACAGGCTCTACATTTACCTAATGTGGTTTGTGTCTAAACTACAACTTATAAAAGTCTATAAAAAACTTCCACAAAGGTTGGTAGCCTATATTGACACCACTTAGACCTCTTGACAAACTGTTTTAAATTCAGATAGTTCCGGCCAAAAACTCGCGAAATATATTTTGATTATACCACCGCGATCGCTCAATTCTCCGTGCGCCAAATTTATGCATATAAAAATTTTATAGCCAACTTACACATATTGACATGCAACTTTCGTGTGGGCACAAAAATGAAGTTCGTAAATTGCACAGGGTATTTAATGACATATCAAATTCTCCTAATTAGTGTTTTGATAGTTGTTAATTTCATTAAATTCAAAATTATTGCATGCTCTAATGCCATTATATTGTTCTCGTATTTTGCATTGCTCGCGCTAAGGTTTGAGTAAGTAATTTTCTAGTTATTTCAGTTACAGATGCCAAGCAACTATAAAGTTCTGCAAATATTATGTTGTAAATTCCTGGGCGAGGACCTGCGCAATTTGAGATGGAAGATAATATACCCGGAAGACCTTCGACCTAAAGACGCCAAAACAAGTTTTTCAAGTGGTTCTGAAAATTTAGAATATTTTTTTCCGAAAAAGTTTATAATCTTTCACCCGACTAAATTTAATGTAAGAAATCCTGTCTAAACCATGGGTTTCATCGCTTGCATGATGGCCATTACTTTTTTTATCTTGAGTGAAGCACGAGCAGAGAACGTGGACATTTCGAGTGAAGCACGACCAGAGAACGTGGATAAACGTGCGCTTGCATTCGTCGCACAGCAGGGAGCCTAGGATATTTAATACTAAACTTTGACCAAACTGGATTAACATGCCTAGACGTGATATAGCCTATGTCATAACCTAGCCTAGCCCTAGACACTAACACTTGATGATTTCTAAGAACTTATAACTATAGTTACCTTTACTAAAGCTGTATTTTTAAAATAGCAAAATATTTTACTTTGGCGCGCAAATTACATGGAATAAGGTGTAGCTACATACACCCAGGATGCATTCCACGTAATACAATACAATACAATACGGGGCTCTGCATTATCTGATGCGATCACGTGGTGGATTTTTATTTAGTGTAGGTTTAATAACGTGGGCTGCATGACGAGCTTCAAGTTCCAAATATTTGTAGAGTTTTCTTCCTCGAGAAACATTTTGTTCACGTGAAGTAACCTCACATGATTCAATGATCTTCACCCTAATTATGATTGCTCGACAGGATCATCCCATGAGCTGATCACGTGTCCATGTGTGGGACAAGCAACGTGAGTTAAATGAGAGCTTTTTTCAATTTTTGGTTTACCAAATGACGTCAAGTCACTCATAACCTTCACGTAGAAGTGTTTTTAAACTTTTCCGGTAGACGCATGTTCGCACTGCTTGTTGACAACTTGCTACAAGGTTGTTGAGCTAAACAGACTTGTTACAAGTTGTTCCAACAATTTGGTATCGACTATCGTCCTGCAATTCAACAATTTGTCAACAAGTTGTGAGTGACAACCTTGTAGCAAGCTGATAAAATAACAGCATTGTTACAACTTGTTGACAAGCTTGCCACAAGCCTGTTGCGACCACATCTTGTTGACAAGTTGTGAGATTTTTACGTGTGTAGTTCAGATACAAACATACAGATGCTGTCGACAAGTTGTGTTCGCACTGCTTGTTCCTATAGTTGTTCTAACAAGTTTGGAACAAGCTGTTAACAACTTGTGACAAGCTTGATGGCATTATCAGACTTGTTACAAGGTTGTTCTGACAAGTCTGATACACTGATATAAAAGAATGTTACAAGGTTGATGACACAAGGTTGTAACAATATTGTTATAAGATAACTGTATCGGACTTGTTGGAACAACCTTGCAACAAGTCTGATAATATCAACAAGGCTGTTACAAGTTGTTAACAGCTTGTTCCAAACTTGTTGACAACTTGGGACAAGCAGTGCGAAGACAACTTGTTGACAACTTGTTGGCAGACTTGCTGCAAGATGCGAGACTTTTGCGTGTGTATCTTAAGTGTTCACGTGTCAGATTTGTCAAGGTGAATGTCACGAGTCATTTTTATCCACAAGCAGCACGTACTTTGTTCACGTGAAATACCAACATGCAAATTTAACTGGCATATCACTAATCATACACATGTCATTCAACTCCGTGAATCTCACTCATATTTGGTGTTGTACTCTGTCTAACAAAACTTTTTTCGTCAAAGTCGCATTCTAGTGAGAGGTTATTTGTAATTCGAAGGTGCGTCTACAGATATTAACCAATCAGCTTTCGTGAAACGTTGGTGTAAGCCAATCAATGCGTATCTGCTAGTTTAAAAGTTATTTTCTTATTACAAAATTGCCTTTTGTTGCAGGTGGTGGTGAAGATGTACTCGAATACTGGAAGACACCAGGTAAGATGATGGCAACTATAACGGTTAGTCTCATTTAGACTGATTTCGTATTTCTACGAAATAGCCATACCAGAAGTTCATTAAACGACATTCTTCATTGCACCAGTTAACCAGTAGTAGGAATTACTAGGAAGGAATAGCCCAGCGGGCAAAATGACGTTTATCCAACGTTGAATCAACGTTGGAAATGACCTTCCAGACGTTGGATAGACGTTGAAAAAGGGTTGACTATGCAAATTGGATCGACGTTACTGTTTCGACGTTGAAACAACGTTGAAATTA